GGTGGGTTGTTGAGGTGGATGATTCTCGGGCCCAGGGTCGATGGATCTGGCTTGCTGCGGCCGAAGCCGAACTTGAAGTTGCCCATGTCAAACTTCTTGTCGCGTTTCGGGGGGTCGATGCCGCTCGAGTCTGCCCTGCTATGACCTCCTCCACCTGCTCCTCCGCCGCCGCCGCCGGGTTCTGTCAGGGGAAGGTCCATCTCCGAGTACCCTTGGCCCATACCGAGCCTGTTCTTCATCTTGCCGAAGAAGCCACCGCCCATGGTCAGGACGCTGTTACGATTCCTCGCATTATGGCGGGCAGCCGCATCGGCGCCGCCGCCATTGAGAGCTCCGCCCTGTTGGTAGAACGAGTCGCCGTCGGCCGGGTAGTCGTCAAAGTCGTCTGCGTACCGTTGGTAGTTGCCCAAATCGGACGTTTGGCTGTACTGGCGCCCGCTGCGACTGTAGGGGGCTGACACGTTGTTGTTGTTGTTGTTGTTGGACGAGGAAGACTGGCCTGGGCCGCCAGGTTGAGAACCAGTGCCATGCTGTCTCGACTGGCCGGCGCCGATGAAGTCATCGTAGGATACAGAGGGCCGGCCCTGATCCTGACCAGATTCCTGGTCACGGGTATATGTGCGCATCAAGTCATCATCGTTCAAGGTTGACCTTTGTCCTCCGCCGTACACTGGTTGGTCATTCTCCAGGTCGAGGAGTAGGTCATGCGATGGGGCGCCCTGGGGACCCCCCGTGGGTCGTCCAGCCATGCCGTGAGGCCGGTGGATGTTTTCAAGCGATCAATGCGATGATGGCCTTCTGGGCCGCGACATTCGGAAACGCTGGGGATGTGTCGTAGGTTTCAGGAGCGACGGGCTTCGCAGATCGGAAAAAAAATGATGGCGTTGACTGCGACTGTCGGCGTGGACGGTGAGGGGAGGGGGGAGGAGGTCCACGTTTGTCGCGGGTGGGCAAAGAATCGTAGCTGGTCGTCGAGTGGCAGGAGAGCTTTGGGTGATGGTCGTGAAAACGCTCGTGTATGCTGATGAAGGATCAGGACGATCAATGCTGGGCGAGATGAGATGGAAAAGCGAACCGAGTCGTATTCGTCGCGAGCACAGCCTCCTTTGTGGTTGGTGCAGCAGACCAGAAACCTGAGGTAGGTAGGTACCTAGGTAGGTAGGTACAAAAGGTGCATAGGTAGGTCCCTTAGCTTAGGCAGGCAGCTTTCTGGGGTGGCTGCCGGCGCGCGCAAGTGGGCTCCGCGGGCTCTGCTTGTGCTCTACGTAAGCCTCGAGGGGCTGGGCTGGCGTCGCGCTGTTGGGCTGAATCTGAATTGGAGGCTTGGATAGCGTCTGTAGGGGGTGTTCAGGTATCTGCTGCCGATGACGGTTGTTGGAGATGTTTCGCTTTTTTTGCAAAACCGATAGAGATCAGACCTGGAAGCAAGGAAGAGCAGTAAATGGCCTCCTTTTTTTTTTTTTCACGATCGTCTGTGTCTGGCTGTCAATCAGGATCCTGGGACGTTTGAAGAACAGGCGCACGGCGTGAGCTGAAGCTTGGCCCAGCGACAGACCCGTCCTCCAGGCCCAGGGGCAGGCAAGGCAGGCTACGTGGAAGGGCCCACACTTGACCATTGCTATTTGTGGCTCCCAGTGGCCCCTTGGCCGCTGACTGGTGGGTGCATCGTGTTCTGTTCGCTGTGTTCTGTTTCGGCCCGCTAGAGCACCAGCCACACACGGTGACTTCATATTTCTGCGTCTCAGGGGTTTGCCGCCACACAACGGGCGAGCTCTTGCCAGATGGCCTGCCAGATGAGCCTGCCAGATGGCCTGCCAGATGAGCCTGCCAGAGTTGCATGGCAGCCATGGCCACGCCTGCCGCTATCATCAGCCCTGTTCATTGTAGCCTGGACCATCTCCATCCTCCTGCACATCATCATTTTGGGGTTTCGTGATCATTTGGATGCAAGGAACATCCCAATGCCATCTATCATTGTGCCTTGCCATGATCAGCCATCTGGGTATCCGTCAAGGCACGCTGTACCTGCCGCGAGCCCCTGTCATACTCTCAGTGTCAGAATCCACGCCGCCACAGTATGGATTCTTGACAACCCAAGTAAAGTACATCTCCAACGGCAACGACGGCAGGAGACCCCCCCTTGGTAAGCCCCGTCAGCGTGTCTTTGTCTCCTCCGAATCGGCCGAAAATGCAGCAACTCACAGCTCGAGACACGGTTGCCGGGTGGAAATCCTTCTGGACGACTGGCATGCGGGGAAGAGGATAGGGGCATGCTAAAGCCGTGGAACCCAGACTGGCTTCGACCCCGAGTGTCCCACTGTCTCACGCCTGGGCATCTGGACATTGCCTGCCAGACTGTTCAGACCACCTGCGCACTCATTTCATTCCGGGATAGCCACATCTGATAAAAAAAAATGGACTACTCGCTACAGAACCACGACGCCTATATTGGACAGTCGGTCACTGACCTGCCTACACCCGCATTGGTCATCAGCAAGCCCATCGTGGAGCGGAATATCGCGCAGCTCAATCACGATGTAGATGCTGTAGGAGTAGCCTTTAGGCCTCATGTCAAGACTCTGAAGGTGCCGCTCACAGACGAGGAAGACGTAGAAGGCAGCCTGTTGACTGATGTCTTGCTTGACAGTGTCTCGAAATCACTCGTATGATGTTGCGTCATGGCAAGAATCGCAAAATCATCGCTTCAACCATCCCTGAGATTGAAGGCGCATTGCCCCTCGTGAAGGAAGGCCTTCTAGACGAGGTACGCATTGTCCCCGTGATACCTGTGACCCTTTGCGACGTGTATCAGACCTCCTGACTCTGCTAGGCCATCTACGGTCTCCCCATCGCCCCCTCGAAGCTTCCCCGCCTTGCCGCCCTTCGCGACCAGATCCGTATCGTCCTACTCCTCGACCACGACGATCAGGTCACCCATCTCGAGTCCTTCGCGGCCTCGTCTCCCTGGGATGTTCTCATCAAGATTGACGTCGGTACCCGCCGCGCCGGCATCCCCGCCTCGTCCCCTCGCCTCGCCGCCCTCGTAGCCCGCGTCGAGTCATCCTCCGCCGCGAACCTTCTCGGCTTCTACGCGCACGCCACCCACTCCTACGCCGGCCGCACCCAGGACGCCGCCGAGAGCTACCTCAGCGCCGAGGTCGAGGGCGTGCTCGCCGGCGCCCGCCTGCTCCCCGCCGACCGGCCCCTTCTCCTCTCCGTCGGCAGCACCCCGACGGCCCACGTCGTGCGCAGCCTCCGCGCCGCCGCCCCCGCCAACGTCACCATTGAGCTGCACGCCGGCAACTTCCCCTGCAACGACCTGCAGCAGGTCGCCACGGGTCTCGTGGCCCCCGACCGCCAGGCCCTGCGCCTCGTGGCCGAGGTGTGCAGCGTGTATCCCGAGCGCAACGAGGTCCTCGTCAACGCCGGCACCGTGGCCGTCTCCAAGGAGACGCACGCGCAGCCCGGCTTCGGCGACGTCGCGGGCAAGCCCGGCTGGTTCGTCAAGTGGATGTCGCAGGAGCACGGCATCGTCGGCGTGGCCGACGGCCCAGAGGCTGCTGCTGCTGCGGCGGCGGGGGCGGAGGAGGAGTTCAAGGTCGGCGACAAGGTGATGCTGCATGTTGCGCACGCGTGCATCACGGCGGCGAACCACCACGCGTTCTACGTCGTCGACGAGCAGGACGTTGTGACGGAGACGTGGATTCCCTGGAAGGGCTGGTAAACTTACAACTTCTGTAGAGGGAGCCAACAAGTCAAGACATTGTCCTGCGCCGTGATTGACCACTTGTTGTCTGTAGATACACCTCCTGTCAGGATCCGAGCGTCAAGCTGTACTTGGGTTCGAGCAATGAATATCCTAATCCAGCAAAAAGCGAGTGAGGTTTGAAGCCGCCCCTTCTACAAGACCCGGCGGCCGGTTCGATCCGGGATAATCCCCAAACCAGACCGAGGGAGACAATCTGTCAGGGGTGGCCAGTAGCACAGGAGCCCCTCCCTCCTGACCTTAAGATTTTTGAATTTCCGCATTCGAATCGGGCAATAACATGTCAAAGGGACCGAACAGGTCTGGGTGCCACATGTTATCCAGCCAGGCCTTCTCTTCGTGGGCGTGCGTGCGGCAAAGTTGATCGAGGCCACTTGCTCCCTGGGCCGACACGGAACAGCAGTCTTCAAGTGCCAGCACAGCTCCCAGGGAAAGAGGGAATTCATATACCCCTGGCTGCAAAGAGATTGCCGGAGAGCTGCCTCGCCATGCCCGAGGCGGCGCAATCGGCTCGATAGGCGAGGCCGCGGCAACCTCTTCATGCCACACAATCAAGACGAGCAGAGCATCACGAAGCCACTTCTTGTTCGTATTCGCACCACTGAGCTCAGAAATAACAGCCAGTACCGTTTGCCCATAGCTTTCTTTTCAACCTCTAGCTTGGGTTCCTCGCCCCGGCGTCTTGAATTCACAGCAACATGGAATTGCGGGTCCCCTCCTCTTATTCGTATTCGCGCTTCTAAGCTAAGCGTATTCGCGACATCACAGGCAGAAGGAGCCAGCAACTGGCGTATTCGCAAGCCTGTCAAAGGAAAATGAGAACTACATCTGATATTTCTGCAGCTTGTTTGTCTCAAGAGTCGATTGAGCGCGGCGTATTCGCACTTCTTTCCTAGAATATGCTTTCCTCCTCCACCTTGGACTCTATGATTTTTCGGCGTATTCGCAAATATGATAGAGGGATGCCGCAGCGCCGTCTCCCAGCTGGCGTATTCGCATGCCGCAGTAGGGATTCCGGGTTTCGGTTTCAAGAGACTATCTCGAGCAAACAGTAAGATTGCTCGTGAGGGGCTTTGGCCGAGGTGAATCGAGTTAATGGGCACATATAAGACTCGGCCTCTGTGTCCCGTCGTCAGTATCACAAGCATCCCCCAATTCAACAGCATCAGCGGTTATTTCCCGTCGTTCCGATTTCACCTTCGCCTATCTTTCAACTTCAACAGCCGCCACCAAGATGGTCTCCTCCAAAGCTTCGATCCTCCAGCCTGAGGACCACAGCCGAGATGCAGCGTTCAACAAGATCATGCACGGCAAAACAGCGCAACTCAAGGGCGGCGTGTCGGCCATGTTCAGCAAGGATGCCGCCGCCAAAAAGCTTGCCGTCGACGAGTACTTCAAGCACTTTGACGACAAGTCAGCTGATGCCGAGACGGCAGCCGACCGCGAGGCGCGTGTTGCAGACTACGCCAGCTTGACACGCCAGTAAGTTGTTCTTTTTACACCCAACTTGGCTCCCCGAAACCAGCGTGGTCGTCATTAAGGAGACTCTGGTATTAGTTGATGCGTCTTCACTGAGGACCCGGCGGCCAAGGAAGAACGAGAGAAACAGAAAAGGCCAATAGAGAAGGAGGAAACGGAGGAGAACAAAGAAATAAGGCTGACAGCGACCTTCACAGTTACTACAACCTCGCAACGGACCTCTACGAATACGGCTGGTGCCAGTCGTTCCACTTCTGCCGATTCGCCGTCGGCGAGGGGTTCGAGAAGGCCATTGCCCGCCACGAGCATTACCTCGCACACCGCATGCACATCGCTGAGGGCGCGCGTGTTCTCGACGTGGGCTGCGGCGTCGGCGGGCCGGCCAGGCAGATCGCCACATTCACGGGGGCGCACGTGACGGGCCTCAACAACAACGACTACCAGATTGACCGGGCGACGCATTATGCGGCCCAAGCCAAGATGTCAGACCGCCTAGAGTTCGTCAAGGGCGACTTTATGCATATGCCGTTCCCGGACAACAGCTTCGATGCCGTGTACGCGATCGAGGCGACGGTGCACGCATCGCGGCTCGAGGGAGTGTACTCGGAGATCCAGCGGGTGCTGAAGCCTGGCGGCGTGTTCGGCGTGTACGAATGGCTCATGACCGACGCATACGACAACGACAAGGTGGAGCATCGGCGGGTGCGTCTCGACATTGAAGTCGGTAGCGGCATTGCCAACATGGTGTCGAGGAAGGAGGGCCTCGTGGCGATGGAGGCGGCCGGGTTTGAGCTGCTTCACCACGAGGACCTCGCGGACAGGCCGGACCCTCTGCCTTGGTACGGCCCGCTGTCCCGGCGGAGCTCAAGTTTACGCAGTCGGCCCATGGACATTGTGAAGAGCATTGGCATGACGCGCTGGGGACGAGCCGTCGGCCACCAATTCATGGGTGCCATGGAAACGCTGCGCCTGGCGCCGGCGGGCACGCAGAAGACAGCGTTCGCGCTCGCGAGGGCGTCGGATGGGCTCGTCGAGGGCGGCAAGCAGAAGTTGTTCACGCCGATGTACCTCATGGTGGGACGCAAGCCTGCACAACCATGAGTCGCGGGCACGACGTAATTAGTGGACGATGTAACTGACAGACGGGGGGTTTCTGGGGAACGGAAGGAGTCGGCAGTGATGACGACGGCAACAACTGGGGTTGACTGGGGTGAACACTGGGGTAAGAAACAAATGATAGGAGGATCGACCCCGACATGTCGTGATAATGATGGGCTGATGGTCAGCGCCAACCGGGCAGGCCGAGACTAAAAAGATAATCAACTACTTTTCTCAGTTGCTGTAATGCGGGTTGCGTGTTGCAAGTTGGTGCCAAGGGGTCGGAAGGCGGTCGGGATCGGAAGAGACTCGGCGCCATGTCGTCGGAACGAGAATCCGGGGGAGTGATAGCGGCGCGGTACTAGTCAAGGGCGTTTGTCGATCGAAAACAAATGCACCAGGGCGTAGTACAATAGGATGTTGGCGGCTTATCAGGAGCTTGGACACAGGGCTGGACAACTGGTGCGGCCGACACGGGACCAGCGGGCTCGGAATGGCAATCCGATGGTCGGTTGTGGAAACTTTTAGATAGGGCGTATGATCAGAAGGCGAGGGGGGGAGGGGGCGAGATTTGATACGAAGCTTCCAAGAAACAAGAGGCATTTACGTCGTCTGGTGTGTTGCAGACTGACTCGTTTGTATTCTGATGATGATTCTGAGGTTTATGTTGCGTTTGATCGTGGATCTGATGGATTAGGTTTTTCTGCCTTCCATCGACGGCCTACGAAATCATGTATTTGGGGGGAGAGCTATGGGGGAAGCTACTAGGGAAAGAGTTGGGGATTTGGAGAAGACTGCGGGCAGCGACAGAGCAGAACGCTCTTCCCCCTGTTGCGATGCCGCGTCTAGCCTTCCATTGCCTTACCTGGTGGATACCGCGGCAGGTGCTAGCTGCTAGGTAGGGAAGTAGGTACCGGCCTGGGCACTCACCTGAGGCAGGCCCTACCAAGAGAAAAAAAAAATGCTCCGAGTGCAGTGTCCTCGTTCGCCCCCAAAAAGTCTAGGCGACGCCGCAAGCGCAAGCCACGGCGCCCAAACTGGCTTGGCTGCTGTGCTGGTCCCGCGAGCAGTGACAGTGAACCTGGAGTGCCAAAGAAGATATCCCATGTCTCGGAGAGCAAGGTACTGGTCTACATCTGCCACCTCAACATTCCAATGGGCCGCTCTCCATCTCGCGAATCCTCACGCTCCCAGTGTATATCCTCTTTGCCTGCAGCGCACGAATCCACCTAGCTGCCCTTCTCGGACTGAACCCCTGCTCCGCATGCTGTTGCATGGAAACGGACGCCGGCCTCTGACCAGATCGCGTGCAGCCCGCCACGCTGCCAGATAAGCTACCCATTTTCCCCAATCACCAACCGCCGCTCGTGCCCTGAATCGGTCATCTCATCCACATCGTCTCCATGGCCTCCGCAGTCTCTGACACATTGAAGGATCTACAGTGGGAACCATGTGCCACCTGAGCTGCCTCATTGGGTCTAGGTCTCCCTCGACGCCTTTCTTGGCGCTACGTCCGCCTCTTGGATATCGTGTCTTGGCTTTCCCAAGCCCGCCCGCAGAACCTGGCCAAATGCTGGGGTAGAACGTCACCCCGCAGCCCTCGACGAGACGCGACGCCCCGAACGGCGGCACTTTGTCGGCCTCCCACGGCCCAAGTACCACGAACGGTGCGATCAAGCTTCTCCAAGCCGGATGCAAGCCAGCCACACAAAAACCCTGGGCACCCTCCCTCTCCCCCGCTGGCTCCTCCCCCTTCCGAGCCCGACTCTGAGGCGTGTCCAAGACGTTAAGAGATCTTCGCCCGCCTTGGCCTTTTTCCCGTTTCCTTCTCTTCTTCAGTCTCGTACTTTCCTCCTCCCCCCTTACGCCTCTCTTCCATTGCTGCTATCCAACTGCTGGCCGACTTGGGAAGTTGACTGATATCCGCGAGACGCAAACATGGAGAAGGGATACGACTCCCACTCGCCCAGCGGCGCACCGGACGTGGAGCACCGAGGCGATGCTGTCGAGTTTGCTGGCGACGTCAACTTCAAGACACTAAACGACGGAACCCCCGATCTTGTCGCCCAGAATGATCAACTACACCGTGGTCTGAAGAGCCGACACATTCAGTTTCTCGCCCTCGGTGGCGCGTGAGTACTACCCTCTTCTCTGTTCCATTCGTTCTGCACTAACCAGCCTCAAGCATCGGAACCGGTCTCTTCGTCGGCTCGGGCGCCATTCTGTCAGTCGTCGGTCCAGCCCCCCTCTTCATGGGCTACCTATCCATGATGCTCATCGTCTGGAACATCATGAACGAGCTTGGCGAGATGGCAACATATCTTCCTCTCAAGGGCATTTCCATTCCCTACTTTGTCGAGCGATTTGTCGAGCCCAGCCTGGGATTCGCTGCTGGTTGGAATTACTGGTACGCCTATGCCATGCTCGTTGGCGCCGAGGCCTCGGCCGGCGCCATCCTTCTCGACTACTGGAACACACCCGTGCCTGCTGCCGTCTGGATCACCATCATCCTTATCGTCACGCTGGCTCTCAACATTTTTGCCGTTTCCATCTTTGGTGAAGCCGAGTTCTGGTTCGCCAGCATCAAACTCCTCACCATCCTCGGTCTCATCATGACGAGTCTCGTCATCATGCTCGGCGGCGCCCCTGACGGCGACCGCAAGGGCTTCCGCTACTGGAACAACCCCGGCGCCTTCAAACCCTACATGGCTGATGGCAGCACCGGTCGCTTCCTCGCCTACTGGTCTGGCTTCTCGCGCGCCGGTTTCGCCTTCATCACCTCGCCCGAACTGATTGCTCTGGCCGCCGGTGAGACTGTCGCCCCCCGTCGCAACGTGCCCAAGGCCGCGCGCCGCTTCATCTACCGCCTTGCCGTCTTTTACGGCCTCGGCTCCCTCATGATCGGCGTCATTGTTCCCTCCGACAACCCCAACCTGCTGAACCCCGACTCCAACGCCAACTCGTCGCCCTGGGTCATCGGCATTCAGCTGGCCGGCATCGGCGTTCTCAACCACATCATTAACGCTGCTATTCTGACTTCGGCGTGGTCTGCCGGCAACGCCTTCCTCTACTCTGGCAGCCGTATTCTCTACAGTCTCTCCCTCAACGGCCAGGCGCCCAAGTTCTGCGCACGCACCAGCAAGAACGGCGTCCCCTACGTCGCCATCCTCTGCACCTGGGCTATCGGCCTGCTCGCCTACCTCAACGTCAGCACCAACGGAGCTACCGTCTTCACATGGTTCATGAACATCAGCACCATCAGCGGCTACATCGCCTGGATCGTTGTCATGATCACCTACATCCGCTTCCGCAAGGCCATGATTTTCCACAACATGATGCACCGCATGCCTTACAAGACGCCGCTGCAGCCCTACGCCACTTGGATCTGCCTTGTTGTGCTCATCATCCTGACTCTGACCAACGGCTTCCAGCTCTTCTTCCCTGGCCAGTTTGATGTTCAAGACTTCCTCGCCGCCTACATCACGATCCCCATTTTCCTTGTGCTCTACCTCGGCCACAAGCTCTGGTTCCGCACGCCGCTGGCGCGCAAGATTGCCGACGTTGATGTTGTCACCGGTGTCAAGGAGATGGAGGAGCTCGCGGCCATGGACGTTGAGCCCGTTGCGAAGAACTGGCTGCAGAAGGTGTGGTTCTGGATCGCATAAGAGTGCGCACGGAAAGGGCAGAAAAGCGAGCTTCATTTATTTTAGTTTACAATTTTACATTCAGCGACAATTTTTGTCTCGAATCAATTCTTCAAAATACTTGACATTGGTGATCGTGTGATGCTGTATTCAAAGGGTCGTGGTTGAAATGTACGGCTCTGGACCTTCCATGTGGGGCAGCATCTTCGCGCCGAGATGGTTATCTTATCATAAATCGTCATCCTCCAAGCGCCTCCTCAAGGACCTCCCCAACTTGCGCCAAACACCACCATCGCCACACACCTGCCATTTCGATTCATCCATCATCGACATTTGCCCTTCCCAGAGAAAGAGAGCAGAGAAAGAGCAGAGAAAGAGCAGAGAAAGAGCAGAGAAAGAGCAGAGAAAGAGCAGAGAAAGAGCAGAGAAAGAGCAGAGAAAGAGCAGAGAAAGAGCAGAGAAAGAGCAGAGAAAGAGCAGAGAAAGAGCAGAGAAAGAGCAGAGAAAGAGCAGAGAAAGAGCAGAGAAAGAGCAGAGAAAGAGCAGAGAAAGAGCAGAGAAAGAGCAGAGAAAGAGCAGAGAAAGAGCAGAGAAAGAGCAGAGAAAGAGCAGAGAAATGGTCTGCTCCAAGTGTCAAAAACTCGGCAAGGGCGCCACGACCCTCGCGACCCCGACCGTCAAGAAGAAGTCGGAACTCTACCACGGCTCGGCGGCCTCCTCGTCGGCGGCCGGCGGCAGCAAGTCGGCAACGCTCGGGCAGACGGGCATCGGCAAGAGCAAGCTCCTCTCCAAGGCGGCCAAGAACCCGTACGCGCAGTACTCGAGCGCCTGCGGCACGTGCAAGACGCGCGTCGCGCAGGGCCACGCGCTGTGCCAGTCGTGCGCGTACCGGGCCGACTCGTGCGCCGGGTGCGGCCGGGCGAACAAGAAGAAGGGGGCTGCGCCGGTGGTGGCGGGGCAGAAGTTTACGCTCAAGTGAGGGGGTCAAGGGGTGTTGAAGCGATTGCGTTTTGACAAGGCTGGTGCGGCTGCATGGCCGAGGGCGCTGTGCGGAGCTTTCGCTGAGGGTGTCTCGTCTTGGTTGGTGAGACGGCTGGGGCGTGCTTCTCGCGGTTGTTCGTGCGGAGGCTTGCGACTGGACTGCAGGCGGGACACGCGGCACGCTGAGCGAGGGACCGGTCTCGTCACCAGGCTGTCGGGGATACAACGGCTCCAGTGAAACCACATTTCGTCAGGCCGATAGAAGACCTCGGCCTGGCTGGCGAGCCCCTATGAGCCGAGTCGTCCCTTCTGGGACGTTTGTGCGATGGGCTCCCTCTGGTCGCCACGAGCCTGCAATCGTGGCCTGTAAAGGATACCCCAGGATTCGACAAGTTGATTGCCACTACTAAGAGGTGGTAAATGACGTAGTCGAGCATCATGCACTTCGGTTTTCAAAGGAGAGGGGCCAAGATATCACGGAGGCATTCAATACACACAATTATCGATACATGCAGCTTCCTTGCCGCTGATTGAACAAGTGACTGCAAGGATCCTACCGTTCAAACATCCTGAATCATCAATTGCTAAAAATATCATGCGTAACAACGTGCAAGCCCTCACAGAGCCGCCTTGACGTCAGCCGCCTTGCCCTCAATCTTCTCGGCAAACCACGCCTTCAGCATGGCGTTGATCTCGTCGGCCTTCTGCCACAGCGCCCAGTGTCCGGCCTCGACCGACTCGGTCGTCAGGTCGTCAAAGTGCGCGCCCATGCCCTTGGCCATGTCGGGCGTCAGCGCCAAGTCCTTGGCGGCCGAGACAAAGAAGCACGGCACCTCGAACCGCCAGCGCTTCTCGACAAACGGCTGCTCGTCGGCAAAGGCGAGCTCCCGCGTGCGGTACCAGTTCAGCGGGCCGTGGAGGCCGTTGCGCGCAAAGGTCTCGACGTAGTGGTCCTCCTCGGCCTTGGACACGAGGGGCGAGGCGCCGACGCGGCCGAAGAGGTCAAACTTGAAGCCCTTTTCGGCGCTGAAGCCGAACTGGCCGTCGGGGGTGCGGCCGCCGTAGATGCTGACGAGGGCCTGGCGGATGTCGTCGTCCGTCTTGACGTGGGCCTCGACGTCGCCGCTGATGAACTGCAGCTGGTAGCGGAAGCTCGGCAGGCGGCCCGAGTTGACGAGGGACTCGAGGCTGAAGTAGCGCGGGTTGGGCGGGAAGTAGGGCGTGCAGACGGAGAAGACGCCGACGACGAGCTCCGGGTGGTACATGGCCGTGCGCCAAACGAGGGCGCCGCCCCAGTCGTGGCCGCCGAGGACGACTCGGGGGTTGGGGGCCGAGGACGGCCTCGGCGAGGGCCGCCATGTCGTGGGGCCATCTCCTTCTGGGTGTAGGGCTCAATGCCCGTCAGGGGCGTCGGTGTGACCGTAGCCGAGCGTGTCGGGGGCGATGACCTCGTAGCCCATGGCCTGGAGCTGGGGGATCTGGTAGCGCCAGCCAAAGCTGAAGTCGGGGAAGCCGTGCACCAGGAGGACGACACCCTTGGGCGTCTCACCGCCCTCGGGCTTGCCATGGAGGTACGAGTAGGTCTTGCCCCTGACCTTGGCCTCCTTGCGTTCGACGCGCGGGTCGTTGGGCACGAGTTTGGACGTCGACATGGTGGGATTTGGGGTATGTGGATTGGTGATGGGTGTTTGGTGGTGAGGGGTAGGTGTGAGGAGGGGTTGAAGCAAGCTCAAGGCGAACAACACTCGAAGGGGGACTAGTCAACGTTCCTCTCCCCCCTTGTATATATACATATCCTGCACCCAGAAATATACACAAACCGGTCAGAGCAAGGACAGGGGCAGATGACAAATGAAGGTGCCTGTTCCGTCGACATAACGCATACCGTGATGAGGCCTCGACGTCACCCAAGGTCTGTCACCCAAGGTCTGTCACAGGCGCGAGAACTCGGCCAGAGTCTGGCTGCCTGGCACCCCAGCTTGGTATGGCCATGGCAACCGAGCCTGGCTCGACAAGTCACGGCGCCTTGTCTGTGGTTCGAGCAAATTGTACTCATCGACATCTGCATCGGCGGGTCATCGCCAACCATTCGAGGAGGCTGCCGTTGTATTCCACGGTGTGGTGATGGACGCAGAACGACCTTCGCTACATAGCTTGCCCCACAAGCCTCGGCTCTGGTCTTGCGTAGACGACTAATCGGGACGGCGATTGTCGAATCGGGTACGCCGTTCAGTGGCGGCAGGGGTCTAACATCAACAGCTCGAGTAATGCACAAGCGGGGACCTTCAACGGCGTCGAGAGACAAGGTATTCACAGTTCCTAGCAAATGGTAGATGCGTGATTCATTCTGTGAGTGTCGATCAAAAAAACCCGCCGAAGTCAACGCCGGATGCTTTTTTTCTCAAGCCAGGGGGTATCGCAGAAAAGGGAGAAATGACCGAAGAGGAACAAGATTCACGGCTTGCCAGCGATTCGGGCTCCAAAATGAACTGTCAATGGAAATCATTAGTACATCACCGTGTCCTCCTCAGCCTCGACGACGTCGTCGCCGGGCTCGTCCTGCTGGTGCGCGTCGTGCATCGGCACACTTTTCGCTACGGACGGTTCGTTGGTAGCTTCTGCGGGGACCGGAAGCGTCACAGCTGCCGATGCAGAGCCCGTCACATCCGACGGCACCGTAGAGGGAGCAGGCGGAGGAGCTGATCTGGCAGCAGCGTCTGGCTCCTTCTTGTCGTATTGCGATGTGCTCAGCCTCCTGTGACCATGCGCTCGGTCATGCTGGTTTCTGCGGAGAGCGAACTCCTCAACCTCCCTTGCGATTGTCGCTTTGGCGTCTGCGATCTGATCGTCGAGTATATCGTCTTGCGCCCGGGTGAACTTCCACGGCTGGTAATACTGTTGATGCAGTTAGCAACGCAACTGGGGGCGTGTGGTTTCGACGGAACATACGATTCGAGGCTCGGATTTGGTCTGTAATGAGTGCGCTCTCGCTAGCAGATTCGCGTGCCTCGTCTTCATCTATCGTCGTGTCAGCTCTTTATCCTCGAGCGCGCGATGCGACGCGGCCAAGCGTGGTGGCAGACTCACCACTTTCTCCTCAAAATTGATCTGCTCAGCTCTCCGGACTTGGGTGATCCTGGAGAGCCTCTCGGCAGACCTCTTTTCGGCCTCGAGCTTTTGCCTCTGGACCCTCTCCTGCTGCCTCTGCTCAATCTCGCGCCGTCGCTTCAACTGGGCGCCGCCTCCGGACTGGTTCAACGTGCCCAGCAACCCGCCAAATAGTCGCTTTCCACGCTTCTTCTCTTCGTCTTTGGAAGTAGCGTTTGCGCGCCGGCCGCGATCGTCTGGCGCATCGTGGTGGTGCAGGTCGCGCGTGTCTGGCCTCGAGCCTGCGCTCGTGTGAGACATGCGCCGGGCGTCATGTGCGCGGTCATCGGGCGAATCAACTTTTGTTCGCTTTATTGCATCATCTCTATCGTCGTCTGCCGGTGATGCTTTGCGCTTTTGTGGTGTGGGATCTGCTGTCGACTTGGTCGGGCTGGAGGCCAGCTCCTGTTTGACGGGGGACCTGCTGACAATTAGTACCTGGTACCTTTGCCGAAGCTCCAGAGCGGACTCACTCTGCGACGTCGGCCATTCTTGTGGCTCGATGTTCGCTGGTCTCGCGGGGTCTCAGCAGGCGCAAGCGACGCAAGAAGTAGGTCGATATAAAATAAGGTAGTGTCGGGGGAGGAACAGAACTGTACACCTGGGTTCCCAAGGCTCGATCCAGACAAAGGAATTCTAGCTTTGGCAGCTCAAGCTCTCGACGTTGCCCCACCTCGGCACACATGAACCAATGACATCAATCGACACATGCGGCATCGCGAAGAAGTGGCAAGGCTGAGGAATCAACGTTGTTGCTTTCTTCTGCCCGACAACCCCCCGACATCGTTCTCCTTAAACGCCCTGACGCCTAACGCACGATCGCAGCCATCTCTCCACCTCTCCACCTACATATCGCACGTCCCTACAACACTTTCAAACCTCTCCTCCCGTTCGCCATGTCGCGCCATCATCCGTACGTCCCATCCCCTCCCCGAAGACAACCCCCTCTGACATTTCCCCCCCAGCGACCTCGTCATGTGCCGCAAGCAGCCCGGCGTCGCCATCGGCCGCCTCTGCGACAAGTGCGACGGCAAGTGTCCCGTCTGCGACTCGTACGTGCGCCCCACGGCCGTCGTCCGCATCTGCGACGAGTGCAGCTTCGGCAACTACCAGAACAAGTGCGTCGTCTGCGGCGGCGAGGGCATCTCGGACGCCCACTACTGCTTCGAATGCACGCGCCTCGAGAAGGACCGCGACGGCTGCCCGAAGATCATCAACCTCGGCAGCTCGCGGACGGATTTGTTCTATCAGAAAAAAACGAATCGGTCGGCAAATTATTAGTGAGGGGGGAGCCCGGGTTGGGCAGACATTGTCTTTTTCTTTTTTTCTTTCATTTTTTTTTGGCTGCCGCAGCGGTTGCGGCATGCAGAATCTCTCGTCGGGCGCCTGCTAAGCTTGCGTCGCAAGAATGCCAAAAGGGCATGGAGGCAAGGCTTTGGACGGAGATCAATATGACGATCGGGCGGTGACACTCGAGGAGACGGCATCGGACAGACAGACTGGCTTACCACAGGAGGGAGTTTGGCGTTTTTGGCAATGATGTGAAGCATCGGGTCATGTGCATGGCGCATCTAGGAACCAATATGTTCAAAAAAAGAAATACCCCCGTGGGTGGATGAATGGCCCGAGAAATGCATCTTGAGAGTGCTCGTAAATTCATGATTACCAAATACAAAGATCGCCCAAAAGGGGCCAACTCCGCCCATATTCCTTGAACCTCATCGTACACCAGCGACCCGTAAAAAGGGCCCTCTCATATGTAACTCACCTTGACGCCCATGCCCGCCGTCGCCTTGATCTTGTTCCAGCTGTTCCCCAGCACCCGTTGCATGCGCTCGCGAATGTTCTTCTGCCCGAACATCAGCAGCAGGCCCACGACAAAGGCAACCAGCCGCATCAGCAGCATGGGGTTCGCCCTGAAGGACGCGCCGAGCTGCTCGATCAGGCCCGCGAGGCGGCTCACGACCATGGTCGCCCGCGCGCCGAAGCCGGGGGCCGGAACGACGGCCTTGGCCTTTGGCCGCGCCGTGCCGCCGCCCCTCGCATTCGACGCTCCGGATGCGCCGGACTGCGTGCGCCCGGAGCGAGGCCCTCTCCCCGAGCCGGCGTGATTCGGCGTCCTCTCGATGCCGTAGTCCACCTCGCTGCCTTGCCGCCGGGCCCTCTCGTCTTCGAGCCTCCTGCGTTCCCGCTCCTCGTTCTCGGCCCTCAGGCGTTTCGCCTCCTCAATGTCTCGTCGCAGCTGCTCCTCCTCCTCCCGCTGCGCCTCGAGCTCCCGCCGCTCGGCCTCGAGCTGCTCCTCCTGAAGGCTCTGCAGGGCTTGGAGGAAGGCCTCCCGACGCTCCTCGTCGAGGACAGAGCTCACGTTGATAAACTCCCGGGCGTAGTCCCACTCGTTGTTACGCAGCAGCACGTGCAGCGTGTACAGCTCGAGGATCTTGACGCGGGCGTTCAAGTCGCGCGGCGTGTCCGTGCCGCCCGTACGCTTGGCGGGCGACCTGTGGCGCGAGCGCATGCGGTGGTGCGGCGAGTCCGAGAATCGGTTCGTCAGATCGAGGTTTGGCGCCGTCGACGCAGCCAGGTAGCTCTCGAGTCTCTGCTGGTTCAGCATTTGGGTCCTGGCGTGAGCGAGGAGCAAGGTGGCACTGTGCGTTTGTTCGTCAGTTGGCGGTCCGTCATGTTCGAGCCGGCACGTGTCGCGGGGTAGGTGAGATGGAGACAGACAGAGAACCGTGGGGGGGCGCAAAAACTCACAGGTTGATCACAACATCACAGTCGACGTCGCCCTCGACGCCGTGGTAGCCGTCGCGCACGACTTCCTCCCAGATCTCGCCGTCCCTGACTTTTGCGCAGAGAGCTCGCCACTCCTGGCTCCCGAACGCATCCTTTCCCTCGTCGGGGTCCAGTTCGACAATGGCGTTCAGGATGGTGAGGTAGAGGGTCCAGACTTTGATGCGCGTCGAGCGCGAGGCGCGGGCGACGGGTGCGGGCTCGACTGGCTCGGCATCCGCGAGGGCGGGCAGCGGCTGGATCACGGGCAAAATGGTCGAGAGAGCTTCGGGCAGGCGGCGGGTCAGGAAGAGGGTGGACGCCTGTTTGTAGGTCTTGGAGATCTGGGACGACTGTGGCCTCGGTGATGGTGATGGCAGCGAGGAGACGGAGCTCGCGAGCATATGTGAGTGAAAAGCGTCGGGAGCGCTGGTGCCTGGACTCAGAGTCGCGGTATAGGAACCGTTGACCGACATGGTGGCAGGCAGTAGGAGGACTGGGGGGCGCAGAGAGAGAGGGAGGGTTGCTTTACTAGTAGGTCGGGGTTTGTTGCTGGCATTGACGGGGAGAAATGAGTGGGATTGGTTATTATGTGTCGGTCGGTGTCGGGCGGAGAATGAGAATGAGAGCCATTGTCTGGGGGTGGGCACGCGTTCGTTTCGTGGTCGGGGTCGCCAGTTGACGAAGTAGAGAGGTCAGCGGCATGTGGTTCGGGTCGGGAGACGGGCGGTGTCAACATTCCACAAGCACGCTTTCGCTTCTCGGCCTTGGGTGTTTAGCCTCGGCAGGTGGTCAACTGCTTGGAGCTGACCGGGGACCTACCAAGTACCTAGGTACCTGTACAGTCAGGCAGGCAGGCAGGTGGGTGAGCAAGTAAGCCAGGCAGAATAGACAGTTACACCGAATGATCGCTTATCGCCACAGCGCTCTGAGGTACCGCCCTAACCTCTGCTGCCCCAGCCGCATCGGGCTAGCCTCCGAGCTGTAATTGGGCGGGGCTGCTGAGGGCCTTCCCCTTCCTCTTCAACAACGTCCAACCCCGACCCTCCTTCACGGAGATCACGACTCTCTAGACGGTATTATTTCATGCATGAACGTCTGCTGCCCTTCTGCCAAGTCTTCTTCGAGGCTTTCCAAAGGCCGAGGTTCTCCCCTGAAATGCGACCCTTACCCCAGCTTTTTCTCCTTAGCCCCTGACCGGCGCTGCCGTCTTCCCCATCTTTCGCCTTATGGGCACAGGACACACATGACCTTTCTGAGATTGGTCAACCGAGCATAGACCTCACAGCTCTATCAAGTGTATTTCAACGCATATCGACTTGGTCTCACTGTCTCCTTCCAAACCCAGCCTTGGGAATTGACCTGCCCAAGATCTCTCATCCTCGAGACAGCCAGTGAACGTTGCTCGGATCTCACGTCTCTGTAAGCGTTCGATCCGTATCGAATGGACCCTTCTCGAATAGACCCTTCTCGAATAGACCCTTCTCGAATAGACCCTTCTCGAATAGACCCTTCTCGAATAGACCCTTCTCGAATAGACCCTTCTCGAATAGACCCTTCTCGAATAGACCCTTCTCGACATCCTTGACTTCGTGCCAGTAGACAGGGATGCATGGTGGTGAGCGTCTGTGCTACGCCTGTCTTTCACAGACCAAACGCCAGCACGCTCTCGAGCAACCCTGGCTCTTTCATGAGCAAACAAGCACATTTCCAGAAGCAAATCTTCTCAGATTCAATAAAGAGTGATATTCAAATGCTCTGTTTGCACAGCTGACGGCTGTCTTAGCACACCACAGGTGCAGATGAGGAGCCATGGATAAGGCTTTGGCTACCTAACACCCTTCAACTTATTCCTTGTGCGATGCTTTGCGTGATGCTGCGTGATGCTGCACATCCAAGAGCTCAGCAACAAGACTCTTATGCCTTCCGTAAAGCTCACCTCATCTGCTTCTGATTCAGCTGTTCTTGCAGCCTGGACACCAGCGCAACCACTCACACGAGAGAGGCTCGCTTACATCAACAGTATCGCCCCGACGACTCCACGTCTCCGCTCAGCACGACCACGACGATGATACGGGCAGTTACACGTAGCTAGAGAGCCTTACGGGGCAAGCAGGAAAACCCTGCTCCTTCTCTCTATTCCTGCCTGGTTTCTTCTTCCTCTTCCTCTTCCTCTTCTTCTTCACGTCGTACTCAGGACCAGCCACGATACCATCCATCCGCCCAGCACTCGACATGGATGTCAACTCGCAGAACTTCTGGCTTGTCCTGCCTGGACTTCTCCAGAGTCTGGCTGACTGCGATTTCGCTGTCATCGACTTGGAGATGTCTGGTGGCGTCACTGACCGTGATGACTCGCGGTACAGTGGTCTCTCCGGCAAGGAGCTGTCGTACGCCATGGCCGCCCACGCTGCCACGCAGTACAACATCCTCGAGTTCGGACTGACCTTGATCAAGAACCCCAAGGACAAGAGTAAGGGCCTGACAACAGATGTATCGAGACGCGCTGACAGGGACCGTCGGCGATAGACTCAGAGTTCGTGACTACCACGTACAACTTTGCCGTCAACAACCTCTTCTTCCAGGACACCAGAGACGAGTATATCTTCCAGCGCTCGCAGGAGCGCGTCATCAACTTCTCTGTCACTGCCCTCGACTTCTTCAAGAAGAAGGGCGTTGACCCCATGACCCTCAACGGCTTTGAAGGCGAACATCGTGCCGGCGTCCCTTTTCTGAGCCGCAAGGAGCGTGAAGAGGCCATCGAGCAGGCCATCCGCGACAGAAAGTTCACGCGCGTGGGCTGCGAGGAGATGGACATCCCGGCCCGCACCTTCTACGAAGACAATATCGAGCTCATCAGAAAGTGGTATAATGCCAAGCCCGCATGTGCCACCAGTCCTGAAGCAGACCCCGTCCTAACACTAACACGCCTTGATAGCGCCCCAACTCCCAGGTCATCATGTTGCATCCGCGATCGACTCGCGTCTCGCTCTATAGACGTCTCGTCGCTGAAATCCTCGAGGAGTACCCTGACTGCTTCATGGAGCCGTTCTACTCGTATGGAATGCGCATCTCTGTCAAGACTGCCGAGACTCTTAAGATTGAGGAAGAGGTAAGTCTCTCCCTCATGCTGTGCTGCACTTTCTGATCATGCTTCCTTTTTTTTTTGTTAGAAACGCCGGGTCAGGGTCAGCGCCCGTGAAGCCACGATCAAGAAGCAATCGTGCCTCAGCATCGTCTTCGAAGCCCTCTGCGGCGGCAACTTTCTGGATCTCATCGACACGGTCGAGCTGTCGGTCACGCTCGCGGCGTGCCCCGGCTGGCGCAACAACATCGGCGACCTGCAGCGGCACCTCAACAAGTGCCAGACGGCGCTGCGGGCCAAGCGTCCGGTCCTGGTCGGCCACAACATGGTGTACGACCTGACGTTCCTCTACGACGCCTTCGTGGGCTGCCTGCCGGCGACGCTCGCCGGGTTCCAGTTCCGGCTCCTGGCCATCTTCCCGCGCATCATCGACACGAAGGTCCTGGCCGTCCACATCAACCACGTCGACGGCAACGACCCCCTGGGCGCCCTCTACAACGACTTCAAGCACGGACGGCCCGAGATCACCCATGCTCTCGGCTTTGGCTACAACGTGGACCAGGGCCGCGCCCACTCGGCCGGCTTCGACAGTGAGTCCCCCCCCCACCCTCGGTCCCCCTCCGACCTGGGCCGTGATGAACGTCCGTACGGGATGGCTGACGGAGCGCAGGCTACATGACAGCGGTCGTCCTGATCCGCGGCAGCTGCAGGAAGCTCGCCAAGGTCAAGAGAGGCCTGCAAACCGGTGGGAGAGCGAGTTCTGGGGCTCCGTGCGGAACACGATCCGCCTGGGCCGTGGAACAAAGCACGTTTTGGGCGAGTCGACTTCTGAGACCAGCATGTGCGTGATGATCTGAGAGAGAGGGGGGGTTGGGTCTGGCGTTCTCAAAAGGCAGGCATCGTCTCCTTAAGGTAGCAACAGCGGTCTCACGAGAGAAGAAGCTGATCATATCCCGTCGCTCGGCCCTCTGTGCTTCGTCTTGCTGTGCACACCTTCCTCCTGGGCTCGGCGTTGCTGTGAAGCGGCATCTGCCTGTTCCTCCTCACGTGTGCTGCCTCGGCGTGTGTTGTCCAAGTCGTGGCGGTGTCCACTCTGACATGACCATGCCCAGCCTTGAGGCAGGTGCTAGGCATGAATGTGATGCACGCCCCAACACGTAAGCACCATCAATAAGGCACAAGTCTAAAGGGAACAGCCGTTTCCAGATTCTCACATGTCTTCTTGACGCCCTGGCTGTTGCGCTGTAGAATTACTCTGTCTGCTCCGAACCTTGCAGGGCGTTATAACCCGTTGCACCACCACATTTTACCATTCAACATCTTGCCCAAAAAGGACGCAAAACTCTCTTCCACCAGATTGTAGCCTCAGACTCGCAGCTCGAGAGGATGGGCCAACGAGAGAATCCGGCTCAGGCATCACCACGCGCTGGCAGTGCGAGGGCGACCAATCAATGGGGACTGGCGATGTGTCCGAGGAAACACGGTATTGGCCTTTGGTCGATTGTTTCCCGTCGACGAGAATGCCAAGGTTCTATCGCCTGGCCACGACCACAGACATCCGTTCTTCACCCGAGTGATCAGCCCTGGAGACCAGGCGAAACCCAATTCACCCAACAGAGGTCGCAAGCAAGCCGTCGCCTCGCATAGCGTGCGTGCAAATTAAGAGCTGGGAAGATAAAAAAAAGAGTGGGATACACTCGAGGCCAAATGCAACCGGTGTCTGGACAGTCTTGTATGCACGACAGCCGCCTTGATGCGACAGTGGGCTGCCTCGTTGCCTGGCTTATGAGGTGAGTCACGGCCTGGCACAGTGACAGCGACAGGCAGCTTGACCCTCGCACGAAAGTCGAGAACAGCGAGAGAAGCGCGACGCCATGTTGTTTTGTTCGCTCGATTGGCCACGTCAGGCAGGGGGACTCCATCTTTCTCAGGAACCTTATGTCACATGTCACCAACGCAGAGGCGAAGAAGGCCCATGGGGGCGTGTTGGATCGCCCCGGTGTGCGGAACGGTACGGGGCTGGCAGAGTGAATCATGAAGAAGGCGAAAGCAAGAGGTTGCCTCGCCAGCGTGACGCAGCGATCGGTGAGGGCATTCACAGAGGCACGCACACTGGTGGCCAGCAGTATCGTTCGTCTGCAGGGCGATCTCCGACGGTCCGTAGGCTGCCGCGCCTGGGCAGGAACGGGAAGACGACGGAAGCCCACCTGTAGCCTGTAGCCTGTGGCCTGTAGTCTATCCTGTGGGGCATGGGCTGAGGTATGGCTTCGCTTCGACAGTACAGCAACTGCAGCAGCACATTGCGTCCAGGATGTGACGCCGGCCTCACGTGGTCGTCGCCAGGAGCCGCCAGGAGTCGCCAGGAGTCGCCAAGAGAGGCCCGGCTGTCGTGAAGGGTCAGGCCAACCACGATGACGGCCTTTGAGCCCATCCATCGACGGCGGTGAGTGATTGGGCGGCTGGCTTGGCTGGCTGGCGCTTTGGAGAGGCGGGGGGGCTTGGAAACATGGAGAATGGGACACGAAGATGGGGGCAGCAATGAGCACATCGGCGACAAGGACGAGGACAGGGGGATGCAGGGTGCGGACGGGATGCAGTCGGAGCCAGGAAGCAGTCGGAGACAGGAAGGCAGGATAAGGACCTGCGGGACAAGGACAATGTGAAGTGGGCAGCGGGGGCTTTCCATGTCCTGCTCGTGCCCAGACTCGACACCTCGCCTCCTCATGGACACCTCACCTGCTGGAGGAAGCAGGTAACTCGCATGTCTGGGGATGACCTGGTCGGTGGTTCCTGTCGGTTTAAACCTTGGTTACTTACCTAAGGCACATCAGGTAGGTACGTACGTAGCTACCTTATTAACCTACCTTACTTTTCCATTGAAACTCTCTCCACCCTATAATTCAAGTTCTTGCCGTGGCATGGTTTGTCGCCGCCCTATGGCCCAAGCCAATATTCGAGTCCACGACCCTCCACATGTGCTTCTGAAGAGTCTGTTTTTCTTCCCCTCTCTTCCTTTTCATCTTGTTTTATAAAACAAAACAAGACAATTCTCGCCCGTCCGTGGCCCCTCGTCCCGAAGGACTCACATCGCCGAGTTCCCCAGTCCAGGTGCCCAGGTGCCGCCGTCACACAGGTGTGCTGCGCCTGACCCGCCGGAGCCGCCCCACTGCTTACCTTGCGCCTCACGCCGCACACCTCACACCTCACCTCAGGCACCATCACCTGCAGCACAGACACACCCAGGCGTGCGTGAGCGCATGGGCCAACGATACCAAAGGCACACCTCATCACTGTCACTTGGTATACCTCACTGCCTCGAACTAGTCCCGTCGTCCGTCCTCCGTCGTCCGTCATCCATCGACCACTGCTGACAACTTGCCCATTCATTCAACCAGTCACCTGCTCTCCTCCCCCCCTCCCATTTCCTACCAACCTAACCTTGCGCTGGTCTTTTCCCCCTCGTCCCCTAAGTCCCCTCCCCCAAGTCTCCAGTTCAGCTCCATCATTCTCCGTTTCAACGCCCGCCGTCATCGCCATCCTTTTCGTCCCCTCAACGCGGAGACGACCCTTTCGTTGTACTATACCAACACTGGACATCGACCTGGAACTTGCACTCGCATTTGCGACTTGCTGTTTCTACCTCACTTCGTCCTGACCACCCTCATCCCCCCTTCTCTCATCTCAGTGCACTCGCCTCTACCTACCCACCCACCTACCTATCTACCCACCCACGAATACGCCACCCGCACCAGCAACAGCACCAGCACCAGCAGCACTGCACTACCCGCACTGCACCGCACCGTACCGCAGCGCAGCGCGCCAGTGCCACCCCCCCAGAGCTACCGCTCGTTCCAGCGCGTGCACCAGACTAACGGCAACGCTGCACCCGTACATCGCTGCTTGAAAAAAGGAACCTGGCAACCTTACTGACCAGGTCGTTTCGCCTACCTACCACGGTCAACCGTACGCGAACCATCAAACCACCCACCACCACCCCCCTTCCATCCTTCGAAGCCTTGCATCGCTCGACTGCAGAAGAAGAAAACAAGTCTTACGCCATCGATTGGCACTTTTCAAACACCTTGCGCTTTTTTTTTATGAATCGACCAAGGCTGCAGCACTTCATCATCTGCCACAATGACTGATCCGGACCAGTGCATCATATGCCTGGAGAGTCTGCAGCCCCCGCCCACCGGCGGTGATAGCACCCAGCCCGCTGCTGGAGGACCCTCCGCAACAGCGTCCGCCTCGAAGCCGTCTGGAGCGTCAGAACACGCCGTCGAGCCAGCAACGCCCATCAAAGTCGATCCCGAATTGCTCGAGTCGGACGAAAACCACCTGATTGCTACTCTCGTGGGCTGCAACCACATTGTCCATGATCGTTGCATCAGGAGCTGGGCAAAGAACTCCAACACCTGCCCCATCTGTCGCACGACCTTCAATGAAATCAGTCTGTCAGCTGAGCTAGATGGTATGTACCAACGCCACCTCGCGCACCACCCATTCGACAGCAGCCTGGCTAACCCAGCACGCTTCTCTCTAGGACCCGAAATCGACCTCTACTCCGTCGAGGACAAGAAACAAACGCACGAATTTCGATCTCCGCCAGTGGCTGCAAGAAAACCCAGAGGAAGAGGAGCCAGAAGAAGAGACGCCATGCCCCATCTGTGGCATGGCAGAGCGCCCCGACATCCTGCTCCTCTGCGATGGCTGCGATGCCGCTTACCACACCCACTGCGTCGGTCTGAATCACGTCCCGGCCGGCTCCTGGTACTGCCTCGAGTGCGTCGACATATTCAGACCTGCGGCTGCCTCCGACAGCACGTCCGACTCGGACGTGCAGGCGATCGCCCCCAGCACGAACCACCGCCGACCATTTGTGCGCACACGAGAACGCCAGAGGCGTGCGAGGCGCCAGGCACGGTCCGTCGAGTGGCAAGGCGCCTGGGGCCAGATCGCTGGGCGTATCTTCGAGGCCACCGATATCGACCTTGACAATTACGAAGACGACGACAGCCTCGAGGGTTTCCGCCGCACGCAACAGCAGCGTGAGCGGGAGTCTCGTGAGTATCGCGAGTGGGAACAGCGCTTGCAGATCGCCAGCCGTCAAGGTGCTGGAGAGACATTTGCCCGAAGCATCCCCCGCGCCATAGGCGAGCGCCTAGACATCGTGCAGCCTGTCCAGGAAACCGCCGAGGAACGTCTCGCGTGGGGCGCCCTGGATAGAGCTCGCCAGTCTGCGAACAACAACAGCAGCAGCAGCCACCGCACTGTCACTCCCAACAGACGGAAGCGAAAGTCCCGGTCTGCGTCGACGTCTCCCCGCGAAGCCGCCGCCGCCGCCGCCGAAGAACCGGAGCGAAAGCTCAAACGTCCTCGCACTCGCAGATTGCCGATTCAGGGTGAGGCATCGGGGTCGGGGACTTCAGGCCCTGCAGCAGCCGTGGCTGCTGCCCCTGTTCCTGCTCCTGCTCCTGCTCCTCCTTCAGCGACTTCGCCCACCGACCCCAGCAACTCAGCCGCCTCCGCGGCACGGGACCATCCTCTCTCCATCAATGGGTCGTCGAGCACATCCGTGCCAACCCGTGGCATCACGACGGCACCGAGTTTTCTCTCGTCCTTGCTGAAAGAGGTCGAAATGAGCACGCCCTCAGATGAGGAGAACGCCCGTTCCTTTTTCAATTCGCACAACGGCGTGGACGCGTCGTCGCCACCGACGTCGCCCTCACCGCCTTCGTCGCGCAACTCACCGCGAGCTCTGTCGCTGACTCCACCACCTTTACCTCGCCCGACATCGCCATCCAGTCTCAGCTCTTATGTGGAGCCTGTGTATCCGAAAGCGAATTACTCGCCAAATCGCCAAGCTGGCGACACGAGCGACTCTGAAAGTCGCGCCCGCCAGCACCGACACACCCATTCCGACATTCGCCAGCCTCGGCCCCGGCGACCGGGCCAGCTGCATCGCTCCCCAACGCGGCCACGATCCCAGGTCGTCTCTCCCGCATCTGACCTAAGCAGGGAGGAGAAGGAGCGGGTAAGCGCATTCGTCAAGTCTGCGCTGAAGCCCCACTGGGACATTGAAGACCGAAAGATTACCGCCGAGCAGTACAGCAACATCAACCGTGACGTCTCGCGCAAGCTCTATGATGGACTCCGTGACCCCGCCATGGCCGAAGACAAGGCGCAGTGGGAGGCTCGCGCCAAGGAAGAAGTGACGCGGGCCGTGGCTGCTCTTCAGCAAGCCATTCCGGCATGAACGGTCGGCGAGGGTGCATTGGACGAGCTCAGCTGGATAGACTTGTTCGGACTTGGGTGGCATCTTCCACAGAGCGAATGGATCATTTGAGACGAACGATATGATAGGCGTTTTCGGTCATTAGGCAGTGCAGGCGGCATTTAGATACCCTGGGCGACGCGGGCCCCAACGGGCCTCGAGATTTGAAAGGAAACTGGTGGAACGGCGTAAATGCTTTGGCTTGGTTTTGTTTGTATCATCCGACATGGTCGGCGAGGACTCAAGGCTTTGCATTCGCGGCTCCGTGGTGGGCCTCGGTGACCGTCCGAGTCGTATGTGATACTCAACGATAGATAAATCGACTGTTACCCGAAATTTGCCATGCTTCTTGTGCACAGGTGCAACGTCTGAGGACCATGGCCCGCGATGAGTCTTGTCTGTGCGTTCATGAGGGTTTAGCAGATTGGCCCACAAACAGGCCCTGAGTTGCGCGGCATCACACTCCTCATGCTGTTCGCGAAGACGGGCAGCGAAGGGAATCGATGAGATAAAAATACAGGCATCGATGGAGCATTTGAGCCAGCTGTCGACCAAAAAAAAAAAAAAAAGCAGCCGAGGGGGGCGGTCCCACAGACCGCACGGCGGAAATCACGAGACAGGGAAATGGTATGTTAGCAGTATCTATCTAACAGCAACCCGGTAGACGTAAATAACGGCAGGTACCGCTAGCGAAAAAAAGACTGCGTTGTTCGTTCTCGGCACTCGTAAATGATCAGGACGTTCTGGAGGTGGAACAGGTCTTGACGATAAGGTAAATGGTGCCTTGAAGGAAAAAAAAAAAAGAAGAGAAAGGGAAAAGAGAAGGAGGGAGAGGGGCTGGAGACGAGATATGGGTAGGGACCCTCTCCCGCCTTGTGGGTTTCGGTGCATGCCTGAGGCTGAATGGTTGCCCGTGGTTGAGCCGGTGGTTAGGTAAGCCGGTTCTGGGTCTGGCAGAGGCCCCCCCGGCGCGATACGTACCGTGTTCCGAAAGCTGGGCTCTGGCTTTGGGAGCTGCTACGCCAAAAAAGTTCAATCTTGACTGCCTCGAGGTGAAGTGGTGCCATCAGTATTGGAAAAGGGGAGCATCACACACCTGTTTTTTTCTCCCTCCCCCCCCCCTCCACCCGCACATCACAATGGCAGCTTCAAGTAGGGGCGCTCTCGCCATTCGCGGCCTTCTGCGGAGTATGTGACTCTCCTGTTCCTCCTGGCCTCTTCCTCGTCCAGCCGACAGGAACACCCTCCCCTCCTCGGTTGACCCTATTCCTAACTTTGTTCGGCAGCATCGTCCCCGAGACTGTGCCGACAATGCGCCACGACAGGCCTCCAGATCCGAGCGCCGAAGTCGTGGCGAGCCTACTCGGGCGCCGCCGCCGCCGCCTCGACGGCAACGACGCCCATCGACCTCCCCCCGACGACGACACCGACTCCCTCTGAGCCAGCGACACCCCAGCAGCAGCAGCAGCAGCATGGCAAGTCCCACTACCGCATCCAGGGCGGCATCATCCTGACGCGGGCGCCGCTGCTGACGGCTGAGGAGACGCCCTTCGAGTCGGCCTTTTACTTCTACCAGAAGCGCCTCAACGAGCGGCTCAGCATGCCCTTCGTCACGTCCGTCTACTTCAAGCCCGACACGCCGGCGCTCATCGACTGGAACCTCAAGGTGCGCGACCGCGAGGGCACCGTGGCCAAGGAGCTCGGCGTGTACCACGGCAGGTCGGGCGCGTGCCTGGGGACGACGAGCTCGCGGCCGGCGACCCGCTGAGGTCGCGCGCCGCCGTCTACGACGAGGGTTGTCCGGGGACCGCACGATGGCGTCAGCGACGACGCCGAGATCATCCCCGTCGACGAGCCCGTCGCCGCCCGAGGCGCCCAGGAGCCGCGTCACCGAGGCGGACCCGCCGGCGACGTCGCGCGGCTCGACCGCGCCCTCGACAGGACGCTGTACCTCGTCGTCAAGGGCGCGGATGGCCGCTGGGCGTTTCCCGCGGCGGCTGTGGCTACGGATGAGCACCCTGCACGAGGTAGGTCCCCCTTTATTCTCCTTGCCTTCCCTCTGCGGATAGGCCATGGAAGGCACCCTGCATGAGATACAAGACTAACGTGCTGCAGACGGCCAAGAGGGTCATGGACAAGACGGCCGGCCTCGACATGAACACGTGGATGGTGGGCCGCGTGCCCGTCGCCCACCACGTCGTCCGCCCGGTGCTCGGCGAGGACGGCTCGCTGCAGAAGCGCGGCGAGAAGACCTTCTTCCTCAAGGCCCGCATCATGGCCGGCCAGGCCAACCTCGCGGGCAACCCCTTTGGCTACACCGAGTTCAAGTGGCTGACGGCCGAGGAGCTGAAGGCCAGCGTCGACGACAAGTACTACCACAGCGTGCGGAACATGCTGGCTGACAGGTAGACGGGGGAGAGCACGTGGGCGTCTGTATCATACCTACTAAATGTATAACATTGTGCAAAGGACTGCTGTACAGTGGCCACATGGGTGATTTGAGGATTGTGATGTATGGCTGGCCAAGTTGGGCAACATGTGAACCAGAACCCAGCGCCTGATTAATGCCGGTTCTTCTTCATAGTTCTTGTTGGAGGCTTGAATTATCACATCACGTACTAGAAATGCTACACCGGATACCAGTGCAGAGGTCCATGAAAAAGCTGCCCTCACAGGCACCACCTCGACTCTGACACCCGTAGACTCAGCTAGCAACTGCATTCGAGCAAAAAGTATGGCCATCATTTGATACCGAGATGCAAATGGCAAAAGACTAATGCGATGCGTGAACTGGGAATCGAACCCAGGGCTCCCCGATGGCAACGGAGAATTTTACCACTAAACCATTCACGCTTGTTGGATGCTTTTTGCTCCGCTTCCTGGGTACTTGATCGCTGCAAGATTCTGGAACGCATTCGCCATCGCCAGTGTCGACGTACTTGGCATCAGCCAGGTTATCTACAGAAGAATACGAATACTTCCACAGACACGCCATGACTTCACACTGAGAGACGAAATCATGCAGCTGCTTGTACATATTGCCCAATTTGTCCATATTGCCGAAATGGCTCAACATCTATCCACCTATATGCACCATGCCCGCAGTATGTAAAAGTCATCAAGTGCCAACTATCGCGTTGAGATGAACCGCCCAGCCCAGAACGCCATCGCTATGATCATGCCAAGATCAGACCAGAACCAACCCGTGAATGAACAACATAATAAATCATCAGAAAAGAAAGACGGCGGCTGCCATGAACGTCACCAGAGCTACCGTCTCCATGCCCATCCTCGGCGGGACGGTGGGCCTGGCCGCGCTCTTCGTGGAGGCGGGTATGTCGCCACGGCCGACGGGGTTCGAGACGCCGTTCAGCTGATCGGCCGTCTGGAGCGCGGGGCCCTTGTCATAAAAGTCGACGAGGACAAAGGTGGGCGCGACGCCCCAGTCGCTGCGGCACGTCTGCGCGTGGGCGCCGAGTGCGCCGGAGACGCCGCTCGTGCTGGGACTGTTGGTGGAGTCGATGAGGCCCTCGGCGGGGATTAGGATGCTGCTGGACACGGCCTCATACATAAAGTGGTTCATCAGCGGCAAGAGGCCGGAGCCCATGGCGGCCGCGGCCGAGGAAATGGTCGTCGGGCGGTCGAGAGAGCAGTTGAAGCCCGTGGGGGCTGTGACCTGGAAGGCCGTCTCGAAGACGTAGGTGAACTCGGGCAGGAGGTAGGGGTGCTGGGTGGAGGCGTCCATGTTGGTGACAAAGGTGACGAGGCGCGTGTTGGCGTCGATGAGAGACTGCAACGTGGGCCAGGTGGAGGTGGCGCCGGGCGTCTCGGGAGCGTAGGCGAGAGACGAGATGCCGGAGGCTTCAAAGGCCGAGGCATAGGTAGCGGCGTCCCTGTCGTCCGAGTTGACGAGAATCAGGGTGACGACTTCGTTGGGGTGGGCATCCATCCAGGTTTTGATGGGCCGCAGCCAGTCCTCGAGAAGACCGGCATCCAGGAGACTGCAGCTGGAATGGCAGAGGCGGAGCGTGTTGTTCTGAAAGTGAACCTGAGACTGGAGAAGACGCAGGCCCGAGTCGAGGGCGACGGTAGCGTTGAAAAACTGGTTGCCGGAGACGGAGAAGCCCGTGGTCTCATCGCGAAGGAAGGCGGCGTTGTGCGCACCCATGTGAGTGACATTGTTGTACGCCCTGTTGCACAGCGATGGCGAGTTGTTGCAAGCTGTCGACGAAGAAGATGCGGAAGTGGCGGCGGCGGCTGCTGAAGACGTCGAGGTTCCGGCCGTGCCAGCTTGAGGAAGGGCCGAGGCTATCGAGGCAGACCAGGCCACGACAGCCGTGGTCAGCAAGGCGGAGAGCGAGGGTGGGAGCATGCTGGGCGGCGTGTGTGCTGCGTGCTGCGTGCTGCGTGCTGCGTGCTGCGTGCAGTGTGGTGTAGGTCTGTGAGTGTCTGACGAGCAAGTCGAAGACGGGCAGCGAAGAAAAAAGAGCGAACTCAAAGGTACAAAACGATGGAAAGCTCGGTATGCTGTGAGAAAGAAATAAAGCCCAAAGCGGAAACACAGCGTAGGAACAAAGGATGCAGGGCTTCTTTAAAGGGACGTGAAAGCTTGCCAGGTGCGTCGATCCAGAATCCTGGGATCGTAACCACATCGCCCCAGCCTCGGAGAGCGACAGGGGGGGGGCCTCTTCAGACCCTTTGACGCATAAGGGCCTTCAGCGGCCTTCAGTGCCTGAGTGCCTTGAGTGCGTCGTCTTGACAGGCCGAGTTGACGGGTGGATCTTCAGTGGCCACAACCCCTAGCGTCTTTTCCGTCCGCAGCAGCCCCACTAGGCCGCGCAACCTTTGTCTGGGCCAAGTGTGTGTGTAGGCGGATGCTGAGTATCTTTGGTCGGTGCAGTGCTGTGTCGGTACCTAGGTGCGTACGTACCTAGGTAGGTAGGTAAGGTACCTCAGGATCTTCGCAGGGCAAAGGGCCTCGGCCTCAGGGAGGCGCCTGTCGCCAGAAACTGCCCGAGAGCTGCGCCTCCTCGAGGTTGTGCAACGAGCAAAGAGGGTCCAAGGGGTGAAACAACGCGCGACCAGAAAACGCATGCCGACTGACGACGTGCCCTCGATGTCGGTCGACAGGATGATCAAGCACCCGTCCATCATCCATCGAGAACACGCCTTGGGACCTGATGCTGCTGTCCCATCTTGCCCATCACGATGAACCGCAGTGTTGAGCGTTTTCTTTCCCTGAATATCGAGAGGCTGACCCGCAGACAAGTCGTCGATCATGATGAAATAGCAAAGGGGAAACACCCATCACTCGTATTCTCGAAACTGGCGATCAGAGATCGGTCGTCCAGGGGTTGTCCTCTTGCTGCACGATTCGGTTGCCGTGGAGCCCCGAAGCAGCCGATTCGGCAGGGCACCCCATTTCACTGCGTCACATCGCTGGCCACTGGTCTGTGGTCTCCGGGTCTCCCTCTGTGGTAGGTAGGCTGATAGGTATGCAGCTTCTCGTATCGTGGGCATTGGGCGTATAGTAGGTGTGGGCAGTGCACTGCATGACACGATCTGTGGTGTGAAAAAAGCTGGAGCCTGATGTTGAGAGGGACAGAAAGAGTGGAGGTTGGCGTGTTTGCCCCTCCCCCCTCGACCTCGCCTTCGCCCCTCCAGCACCTCCAGCACCTCCCTATCACCGCCCTGTGATTCAGTGATCTAATGGTTCAATGGTCCAGTGATTCAGCGATCCAGTGATTCAGCTCCGCACACGAGGCGTTTCGTACTGGCGCCGCTGCTATTTTTACGCGCCTGAACCAGCGTCAGCTTACTTCATCCACGGGAAGGCTTCGTCGACTGACACAGCTTCGTCGACTGACACAGCTTCGTCGACCGACACAGCCTGGCAGTGCCTCTCCACGTCAGTTCTGGCCCATCATCTGGCCGGCCTACGTGTGCAAAAGCGCGAGGTCGGAGCACATCAAACACCATCACCGCGAAACCTTCCATCCTCTGACAGCTGATCAACCACAGCCTGTACCATCCACTCGACCTAACTGCCACCCTTTGCACGGCAGTTGCCCGACGATCAATCCCTCCCCGCCAGTCAAGATCGACGCTCGCTCCCGCTTGGCGTTTGGGCCAAGCTTATGCGCACCACCCCCCAAATCTTCAGAGCACAAGCTTTATTCTCATGCTTGGGACAAATATCCAGACTCCTGCAGGGCGCTCAGACCTGTCCACGAGTGAGCGACCCGGTTCCCGTTCACTGGTCACGTTACGGCATAGAGTTTGCGCAGTGTCAAGGGAGGCAAGCATGCTGCAATTCGGTGATGAATATTTATTTTCCCCTTTTTGCCAATTTGCAACTTTCTAGAAGAACCATCTGCAATTCCGCTTAGAAGCTTTTTGATAGCTTGCTTTCCCTTGCGGTCATGGTTGCCTGGGCACTGCACCGTGCTCGGACTGGCATGCATGCTGGATACGAGGCTCACGATGCCACGATACCTCCCTGTCACTGTCACTGTCACCTTTGTGGTGGGTGGCCCTTTATTCCGGATCCGGGGCGTAGCCTGACTCGGAGCCTGCACCCGTGCCCGTCTGTGCCGCTTCCATCTCCTTCAGTGCCTTGCGGCCTTCCTCTGTCGTAGCATCGATAATCCGCTCCTCGAGACTGAGGATGCCGGCCTGTTTTGCGCGTCAAGTTAGTAAAAATGGACTCCATGACCATAGAGCCCGACAGGGCAAACTCACATCGCCGAGCTTGGCCACGACGTCCTCGGCCGCTTCCACCGTCATGTTCCCCAGCACGTGGTTCACCTTGTCGAGGCTGCCCGTCTCGAGGGCCTTGCGGAACTCGTCGCTGAAGCTCTCAAAGATCAGGCACGCCTCCTTGACCTCGACCTCCTCACTGTCGGCCGGCGGGATGCGAATCTTGATCTCCGTGCCTGGCTCGACGGCGTGCAGCTGGATCTGCTCGACGCCCTCGGCCGGCTCCTTGGCCCGCTCGGCCACAATCTCGCGCGCCCGCGTGCGGATGCGCGCGTACGTGTCGGTGACGTCCTTGTAGAAGACCTCCTGCGCCTGGTGGCCCTTTGTCGTGATGCGCTTGAAGAACATGGCGACGCCGTCCTTGCCGAGCGCCCGGCAGTACTGCAGCAGCAGCGCCTGGTGCACGCACTGCCGGCTCCAGTCGTCCTTGCGCTCGAGCGCCGCGTCAAAGGCCATGACGAGCAGGCCGTCCGTCTCCCGCTCCGTCAGGATCTCCGGGTGCTTCGACAGGAACGACAGGCTGGCCGCGTAGTCGTTGGCGCGGATCTGCGCAAACAGCTGCGCCGCCGGCGACGGCTTCGATCTTCTCGTCGTCGCCGTAGCTCTCGGTCGACGCCGACGGCG